GTTATATGAATGAAGCTTAATAATACTGCCAAACCAAATTTCATTTATGTTCTCAAAATTCATTAATTTCATTATCAAGATCTTTCAATATCATTTTATGTGCTACATCCATGAAGTAACAACATTCCAAAGATAATAGATCGTAACAGTCTAACACTAGAGATCTATGTGTGTCAATCAATTCAAAAGTCATGGTATTGTTCCCCCAGGCAAGGGCCTAGCCATGGTATTGTCTCTCCCAGGCAAGGGCCTACATTCAATGGATGCCACAAAACTATTTCAAAATAGAACTTCATTTATTATAAGAAAATAACGTTTCAATAGGCCATGCTATCAATTATCATATCATTTCAATAATTCATTTAATCAATCACATATCCATTTCGATAACAATAACATTTTCGAAAGTAAAAATAATTTGAGCATATCTTTATAAAGTTATTACTCACAGTGGTTTATGTTGTCACTAAGCCTCGGACGTCCACCTAAACAAAAGCACAGTTGAAGTGCCATTTCATCTTAATTCAATTCTCTTTACGTGTTTCTAGCATGTTTCATGACTATGTGAGTCCAAATGGTGCCTAAGAACACTTGGAATGGCATGAGAATGCAAATACGTACTTAAAAGAGTTAGTCAAAATTTGTTGAAAACAGGGTCTCCACTCGAGCGCAACTTCCTTCGCTCGAGTGGGGGTTCAAAAAAAAAGGTGGTCGCTCGAGTATAACTTTCATTGCTCGAACGATCTGCAAACTTAGCAAAAGTACTGGTTGCGTGAAATTCCCGCTCGACGGTCGCTAGAGCAGAAGACTGAGTAAAAAGGGTCCTCGCTCGAGCGCCACTCTGGTTGCTCGAGCAATTTGTAAAATTTTAAAAACTTCTGGGAGGTTGATTTTCACGCTTGAGCGAAGATTTCCTTGCTCGAGCAGACAAGCCAAATTCTGGGATTTCCAGAACTGTGTTTGAAGTTCAAAAATGATAACCAAAGCCCCAAAACTTGTATTTCTGGTGCAAAATCATGGAAAATCATTATAAAACTTGAAAACACTCCCAATTTGAAATCATTTACTCAAAAATCATAATCCACTTGACAACCTAAAGCTTGAAATTCTATGTCATCAACCATGCAAGCATCACAATGAATTATATCTTCTTGTATCTTTCAAAAACTTGATCAACCCACATGGTAAGTATGAAAACATAAGAAAGCCTTCAAGTTAAGTTGTACAAATGCCATGCATGTGTGAATTTCATGAATTCTAAGTCAAAATGCCCATGCGTGTACAATTCAACTCCTTTTCACCCAATTCATGGAAATCTAACACATATCTCCCAAATTACATGCAAAAGAGTGCTACAATTAGTTGAGTTAGACTTCTGCATGCAATATTTCCAAGAATTAAAGATGGATTTCATACCTAGTGTTGAGTACAAGTGTTGGCCTCGCTTAATTCACCAAAATTCTAGCAATTCTCATCAAATCTCCTCTTCCTCTCTCTAATGTGTTGAGTTCTTCCTCTCCCTTCCTCAAAATCTTAGTCAAATCATGTATCTATGAGCTCAAGGCCTAATTAGAGCCTTATATAGGATATAATTAAGTTAGCCTAATCAAGTATGATTAAGGTTAATTAGCTAGGCTTAATTCTAACAAATTCAATCAGTTTATTCTAATTATTTTGATCCAAATCAATTTTCAATTGAAGTTGCCATAAAATTCTAAATATTCTAATTAGTCTATTACGCTAATCAATTTCAGTTCTGAAGCCTTCTTGGCTCTCAATTTCTGTCTCTAAGTTGTCAACTTGAACAGATATTCCATGTAATAACAGATAGCTACAAAATTAAGCATGTAATTACGCAATTAAACACACAATCATGTAATTAAACTTATTAGAATAATATAATATAATAGTCCGGAGGTCAGGGTCATCACAGTTGGAGCTCCGAAAGTTGGTCAAAAATAAGATTTTTCTTTCTTTGAGCAAAATTTTCATATTCAAACCCACATGTTCAAGTACTTGTATCTCCCTCATCGTAACTCCTTTTCGCCTCATTTTTGCGTTGTTGGATTCACTTCATGGTCTAGTTTTCATTTTACCCCTCATGTGCCTTGTTCCACATCGTTTTGTATGCTATCAAAGCTCCAAAAGTTGGTCAAAAATAAATTTTATTTTATTTTATTTTTCTCTTCTCTTTCTCTATCTTTTATCTCCATGCTTCTTCCTTCCCACTTCCTTTCCACAATTATTGGCTTTTTTCCTTTTCCTTCATGGCGCTTCTATCGAGCTCGTGGTGGCCACCGAACCTCCGACGGTGGCGGTGTCGTCGAGTATGAATGCATATATAACTTACAAGAATAGAAAGAAACATACGAGTGAGGGAATGGCCATGCATGTTAGGTAGATATTTAAGTAACCCTGGCATGGATCATTGGAAAGTAGCCAAGCGAGTTATGAGGTATTTACAGAGAACAAAGGAATATATGCTCAAATATAAGAGATCAAATCAGTTAGAGATCAATGGGTATTCCGACTCCGATTTTACTAGATGCCAAGACAGTAGGAGATCCACATCATGCTATATTTATCTGTTAGCTGGTGGAGCGATTTCTTGGAGGTCTGCCAAGCAAACACTCATAACTTCTTCCACCATGGCCGCAGAGTTTGTAGCATGTTACAAGGCATCAAATCATGGAATATGGCTGCGGAATTTTGTTACTGGGTTGCGTATTTTGGAAGGTATTGAAAGACCACTCAAGTTATACTGTGACAATAAGTCAGGAGTTCTATATTCCAATAGCAATAGGAGCCCGACAAAGTCGAAGCATATTGGCATCAAGTTCCTAGTTGTAAAAGAAAGAGTACATAGTAGATAGATTTCCATAAAGCACATTGGGACAAACTCCATGATAGCAGATTCGCGTACGAATGGACTACTACCCAAGGTCTTTCATGAGCACACTGCTCATAAGGGTGTTGTTCTATTTGAAAACACTCTAGTTTAGTGGGAGCTTGTATTTGTATTATTGTATTATTACTTTATGTTAGACTAGAGTTTTATTTATGTACTTGGATTGATTTCTGCAGAAATGAAGTATTCAGTTTGTTACACTCTGTTACGTATTTTGAAGTATTGATCTCAATAAAGTTAAGTAGGACCAGTTGGAAATAGGCATGTGTGGATCACATTACATGTAATTTTCGTGCTACGCATCCATAATTGATCTATGTCATTTGGCTGTGTTGGTATACGTGACCATTGATGGGCCAAGTTACGATTAATATAACAAAGACCGCTTTGATCCTATATCTATATAGTTAACAGACAAGATTGTTCTATGGTCATGATAACAAATTTCTGAGCTCACTAAAGTTAAACATATTTATCAAGTGACACATGTGGTCCAGTGGGAGATTGTTGGATTAATTTCTGATTGGGACCACATATTTAAATGTGTGTTATCATTTAAGAAGCCTAAAACTTAAGTGATCTAATTTAGCTATAAGTAGGCTTAAGGGTATGTTTGTCATGGAATTAATGTGTAGATACCATTGTGTAATTTCTATTTTTATAAGGGGCAAAAATAGAAATTATGATAGTTATGATAGTTAGTTTTTTAACTGCCTACAACTTTTAGATTGAAAACTATCAATTTTTAAGGGTAATGGTCCCCAATCCTGCATATATATGCAAAACAAAATCACATTCTCCAGATCCTCTCAAGGAGAGATTAAACGACATTAAAGTAAGGAAAGGATTGGAAGGCTATCCCGTAATCACGCTTCCGCTCAACCATCATAATGGATTTGGGTACACATCTCTCTTCGATTTCTTAATAATACAACATGATACGCGATCTAATATTTCAAACTTTTTAGGATTTTCTCACTACAGGTTCATGATGGTTAAAATATTGAATTAGGTTGAGGATTGGTGGATTAAAGACGAGTTAAAAAATAGAAAAAATTACATGGATATGTTTTTAAAAAAATTTACAAACATTAAAGTGATAATTTTTTTCATCACAGTAATTAATTTTTTAAAATTTCACTAAGTTGTAATTTTTTCTAAAAAATTCCCAATTTGCTAAAGAGTGGTTGGATTTGTGATTTTCCCTCCCTAAATTGACACAAATTATACAAGGAGAAATTACAAATCAGGTGGGGCTTTAAAAAGTAAATTAACATATTAATGAAAAAAATTAATAAATTTTATCCCCAACATCCACTCGTGATAGGTTATTTCCCCATTATACAATCCTGTTAAATCTGCGGTCCAACCGGTGACTCGCTCCAACCAGCAGACCGGTAGTGGTTGAAAAGCCCTCTATATATTAGGGCTGAGCAAGTGATCCGTGAAATTCGTAATCCGATCCAGTCCAGTCCAATCCGATAGGTTTGGATTGGTTTTTTGAATCTGCGATTCGGTTCCGGATTGAAGAATTAAAAATCCGTAGTTTACGGATTGGTTCCGGATTGAACCCCACGGTTCCGGATTGGAACCGATCCGAACCGTATACAAATAGTCTATATTTTTATTATGCATCCTTCCCCATATTATCTTCTCTTAATTCTATATAAAATCTAAACTCAAACTTAAAACCGTATAATATCTTCTTTTATTACTCTTGTTTGTTGGTTTTTAGTTTTAAGTTGTAATGATTTAAATACTTATAGTGAAACCAATTTTTTTATGATTGTTTAAATTTTAGAACAGTATGTCACTATTATAAAAAAATATGTTGTTATTGTGGAACTAATATAGCACTATATTTATATTTTTATAAAATTAAAATGTTATAAATATATTTTTGTTATTTAATTATGTGAATCCGTGGTCCTAAACCGATCCAATCCGTATTTAAATGGATTGTTTCGGATTAGTTCCATGATTTAAACGGATTAGATTGGTTCCAATTTTTTAAAAACCGTAAATAACGAATTGGTCCTCCTTTTATCCCAATCCAGACTATGCTCACCCCGCAATATATTCCAAATTAAGGCTCAAATCAAATCAATTGATGATCGATCTGCAAATCTCTGTCTCTCTCTCTCTCATCCGCGATCGATCCCTCATCTCTGTTCACTCAAGTCCAGGTGCGACATCTTGTTCTCCGGCGACGGCAGCGTAAGTTCAGGTACCGACTCTGCTCCTGCTCTATGCATCCCCTCGGAAGCAAAACCGAAAGAGAACACTGATAATATTAATCGTTTTTCTTTGTTTTCTCAGTAACCAAACTGAGTATCTTAGAAAATTCTATACAATTGTTTTGTTTATTGGTGTCAATTTGTGAAGCATCTACGAGTTCTCCATTCACAAATAATAAACCAGTTTCCAGAGATTTTTCTTGAAAATGTTTTTTTTTTTTTTTTTTAAATATGTTTTTGTTGTTTGGGCCTTACATGTATATTCATACATCTTCAGTTGCCTTTCTTTTTGACATTCTGAAATGGAGAGAGCTTTTTCATTTCTACTCAATCAATATTCTGAACTCTAATTTGGTGTTACACAGCTTGGCTTATTTGATATCAAATGTTTTTTTTCCCAATTAAAGTTTCAGATGGTACTTGCTTGGTTCATATGTTTGGAACCTCTTGCAGTTAAGTAATAAGAGAAATGAAAAGAAATGAAATGGCTGTAATTTCTTTCCTTGTGTTTGGATAAGAAAAAAAAGAAAAAAAAATGATTGTGATTTTTGTTCTTTTTTTTTTTTTTGGTTAGATTTCATAAGACAAAAGAAAAGAAACTGTGTTTTATGTTATATTACCAAAATATATTTTTTATGTTTTGTCAATTATTTTATTTCTTTTACAGAGACAAAATTTGTATTACTCCCTCCGTCCCAAAATATTAGTCCCTTATTCCATTTTTCATTGTCCCAAAATATTAGTCCCTCTTTATAAATCAAGTACAAAAATAATGTAAATTTCCTATTTTGCCCTTCTTTTTAATTAATAAACAATTTAAAAAGTACAATTATGACATTGATATTCCCAAAAAATGTACTATCAAAAGGGTAATTTTGAAAAACCAACTTTTTTCAAATGCAATAAGTGTACTACCAAAAAAAGTTGGATTCCCCAAAAGGGACCAATATTTTGGGACGGAGGGAGTATAAAAATAAAAAATTCTGTTGGTTTCTTTTCTCTCTCAATCTCTTCACTTTTGAAAAGATTGAAAATGAGGGTTAGAAAACAAAAAGGGTTTCTCTCTGTTTCTCTCCATTTCTCCTCATTTCTCTCCATTTAGGTTTAGGCCATGTTTGATTCACAATACTAATAGTGAGGTATTAATAATCCTATCAAATTAGTGTGGTATTAACTATCCCACCCCTACACCATTACTAATAATCCTACAAATTTGTTGGATTAATTATCCATTGGATTAATAGTCCTAAACCAAAATGTCAAAACAAACATAAGATGATTAGGCCCACGAATTAATAATCCTAATCCCATGCTTTAATCCTTCCAATCAAACATGCCCTTAAGTTTTCCAAACAATTAAGAGAAATACATCTCTCTCCATTTCTTTTCTTCTCTCCAAATCACTTAATCCAAGTGAGAGAAAATATTGTAGTTTTATTTATTTATGACATAATTTGGACATCATTGTTCAATCACTTTTCAATTTTGATTGACTCGATGGTTGAACCATTGATTCTAAGACCCAGCCTTTTTTAGGTTTCCTTAACAATCAAGGTTTTAGAACATTGGTAAGAAGGCCTACCTCGCAGTTCAAAGGGGGAGAGAGAGTTAAGACAAGCAAAGATGAACCACAATCACAGTCAGCAATCGAGTGATGGTAGGCACGATGATGATACTGTGCTCTCTGATTTCCTTGCGTCCTTGATGGACTACACCCCCACTGTAAATTATCCTTGAAAAGCTCAATGAAAAACCCCCACTGTATGCTTTGTTTTCAATAATAAATTTACTACTTTGTTTTTTGATCTCAGATTCCAGACCAATTGGTGGAGTATTACTTGGCGAAAAGCGGGTTCCAATGTCCCGATGTTCGATTGTAGGTACTTCTACCCGCTGTTATTAAAATCGTACAATTTGCGATTTGAATCATACAATTTGATTCGATTCAATGGGTAATCGATGCGAACAGGTTGTGTGAATCACAAATACCTATGAATCGTAATCGAATAAGTGAATCGTGAATCGATTCGAATCGCTAAAATTGATGTTTGACTTTCTTTTTTGATTTTTTATTGTTGGAAAAGGGTTCACAAAACATTTTTAAGGTCTTTAAGATTACTACATGCCATCTTTTGGCTTTTTCCCTCCCTATTTACTCTCAAATACTCAAACTTTAACCCAAAAAAATGAATTTTCTCTCTCTACAATATTCTAGAATTACATATTTAATTTTATCAAAATACTTGCATTTACAAAATAAATTTTGTTAAGGCATCAAAAAAGAATTTTGAAAAAAAGTCCATTAGAAGTTTGTCTTTGTTTGCTATCTTTATTGATAAGAAATAGTATTAAAAAGGGAAAATTTGAAGTGGTAAACATAGAAACCCATGTTAACTTCTTACCCAGACCACATGATCATCATTTAAAACAATATTTTTATTGATTTAAGTCTAAATATTTCATATTTATTAGATATTTAATATCTAAGTTTGTAGATAAATTTTTTATGTAATTTAAAAAAGGTGACCGAGTCTTTACGATTCACAATTCAGTTCAATTCAATTCATGATTCGGTATAATACCATTTCGATTCACTATTCGAATTCCGATTTGACAACTATGCTTCTACCCCTCCTAAAATGTCATCCTCTTGTCTCTCAATTTGTTTGCCCTCTATTTGGTTTCCAACAAAATTGAAGTAAGTGAACAATCAGATTAAAAATGAGTAAACCTAACTCGATAAAGGTAAATAGTTGTGTTAAGGTCAGTTGACTGGATGTTTCTGTGTGGGGTTTGTGTTGATGAAAAAATTGATGATTCAAAGCTACTAATTTTTCTAATTTCCTCAGTTTTCTCACAAGGGAAACCACAGTGAAGTACGACAATGTCATTAGAGTGTTATCCAAAAGCTGAACAGTAGGAGGGCTAGGAGGAGTGAGGGATTTTGATTCTTTTGTATGGGAGTATGATTTGATTGACCCGCCTTGTTGAATGCTTAATTTACTTGGTCTAATTTTCAGGAGGTGCTTTGAGAATATGTGGTTGGATCACCCTTTCATTCAAAAAGGATTTTAAAGAGTGGTGGGCAAATTGTAGGATTCAAGAGTGGAAGGGTTTTACGTTCATGAATAAATTGAAAATGGTCAAATGAAAGTTAAAAGAATGGAATAAAGAGGTTTTTGGTTATTTAAAGGCCAAGAAAAGTGAGATTGAAAAAAGGTTCGAGGTTCTTGATTGTCTTGAATCTGGGGTGAATTTGATGAGGCACTTAGAAAGAAAGGCTCGAATTTGAAAAAGTAATCTTTAGAGAATCAGTTCATCAGAGCCATGTACTCATGATTGTTTTCTATGGAAGGGAGTCCTAGACCGGGATTGAGGGTCTTGATTGGTGCCCAAATTATGTATTCTTATTCAAGAAGTTGATTTATGTGCTGCTTTTCTAGTTGTTATATCATATATGGTCTCTGATGTAAAAAAACTCTGCATATTTTGTATTTCATTTTTCTGCACATTTGTATGGATATATATATATATATATATCTATATATATCTATACATATCAAATCATTTATCTCCTTTATTTTTTGCAGAATCAGGCTGGTGGCTGTTGCTACGCAGAAGTTTATTGCAGAGGTTGCAACTGATGCTCTTCAGTATGTTTCTCACTTCTGATAATTTTTTCATTACTGAAGCTTTTCATTTGAGATTCACCAATAGTTCTATTTACAGGTTCATCATATACATTTTCATATTTGCACTTCTAATTTTCATTATTTAGATACTGGTGGTGCGGTGACGTTACACATTTATTTGTTTATTGTAAGTTACCCATCTGCATCTTAATATAGGCAATGCAAGGCAAGGCAGGCAGCTGTAGTCAAGGACAAGAGGGATAAGCAGCAAAGGTGCTCTCATTTTACTTATGTTTTTCTACTTTTCATTTTTGAATATTTCCAGCCCTTTTTTTTTTTTCCTCTTTAGTTTAACCCGATCTCTCTCTCTCTAATAGGATAAGGGTTTAATCTTGACAATGGAGGACCTCTCCAAGGCTCTGCGTGAGGTAAGCACTTTAGTGCTTCAAGCATTATTGCTATCAAGATTCAAATTTATGCCAGCCAACCTCAAAATGACAATATCATCATAACGTTTGGTATACCTGTTAAAACAGATTATAAATTATAGCTTAATAGATTATAAATTATGATTTTAATCAGAAACTATTAATTTGTTTGGTGTAATTGTTGAATTATAGATTTAAGTTGCTAAGTAGTATTTGTTAAATATGCTGTGAAATAACTTTTTTAATTAACTTTTATTTTTTATTGTTCACTACTTGTCTACATTTCTCATAAAAAAAATAATAATAATAATCTATAGTCCATTTGGGTCTTTTTTTATTTTTAAAAAAAATCTAAGAATATAATTATAAATTAACATGTCCACAGCAGAAGCTGATAATCAAAAGTAAGAGGTGAGCAGGTTCTCAGAATCAACTTTTTTAAGTTAAAATAAGTTGTTAGAATCAGAAACTATTTAAAATAAGTTTAACCAAACAGTTCAAAACAACTTTTCCAAAGCTTGGCTCAAAAAAACCCAAATAAACACCCCCATGTCTCCTAATAGTTTGAGATGCAAAATTTCTAACCTTCAAATTTCGATAGTCATAAAACTTTGGCAATACGGGACATCAAAGTTCTACCTTTTCGATTTGAATCTTGTAGAACATGATATTTCAATAGATGGATATATGTGAAAAGCATGTTTTGGAAAATGTGCTAAGACGGTGATTCTTTGATAACCGATATATCCATGTTATTAATTTTTTGATATGTAAAGTAATCTAACCACTGAAAAGGCTCAATAAGGGTGCGACTTATCTACACAGGCAGCTTGCCTCAACCATTATGAGAATACCTTAAATGCCAATATTTGAATAGATTAACTACGTAATGGCACATAAGCCATGGAAAATTGAGTTGTGTTAGGTGAGCAGAAGCATATTTTTAGGCTCTATTTATTTGGTTCTTTATTTATTTTGTGTAGATAAGTAAAAATAAATGCTGAGAAAGCAATTGGGTTTGTTAGCTGAGAAAGCTGACTTTTGCTAGTACCTTCTTCAATTAAATGCTAACAGATTTCTTATTTGTATTAGAGTATCTGTAATTGGCATATTGTCCTGGTTCGGGGTGATGGCCTCCGGAACTCTCTCATTCCTTTCAGATTACGACCATTTTACGCTGATTTTAGGTTTCTCGTTTTAACTGAGCAGTATGGCGTGAATGTGAAGCATCAAGAGTATTTTTCTGATAGCCCCACAGCTGGGTTCGATCCTGCTTCAAGAGATGAATGAGCTCAGCGCCTTGTATCTGTAAAAACAAATTCTTCATGGTGGCTTGCATTTTGATTTCAACTTTTAACTAATTTGCAGGGCTACGAAAATACTCCATTATTTTTACATATTACGTCATCAATCTATAGATGATTTCATCTCATGGTCTTGTTGCTACACAATTAGGTAGATGCAGTTATCCTGTATTCTTCCTATCTCTCTTCCCTCCACAAAAGGGAAAAAAAAAATGGAAAAAGAAAGAAAGAAAGAAATGGAAACAAATACTTTATTTGTATTTGTATTTTATTTTTTATTAATGAGAGGATATTATGCTGGATTTTGAAAGCATTTGAAACTGGCAAGGTCTATTTCTTAAATAAATGTAGGAATTTGTTGAACAATTGCAGGCCGTTTCGGTTGGTAGTTGCAATATTGCATTGTGAAACACCATAGAAAATGTTATATCTCATTTTCTTATTACTAGATACACAAACATTGATCTCACATGTATTTATTAATATAGTTTCCACTATTTTTGTGCCTAGTGGTAAAAAAAAAAAAAAAATTTCTTGTGATTGTGAGATTCGTTCATGAGAGGGATCTTTTATTATTATTTTTAATTGGAAAAGTTGAATGGGTCTATAGGTTTTTCCCCGGTGTTAGTTTTTTTAAAGTCCAAAACAATAAGTTTTTTTTTTTTGGTTTTTTCGCTTAAATAGTTAAAAAGTGAGATTTTTAGTTGAAACCAAATAGATCATTCCCCAAAGTGATGACCCACATCAGAATCCAACGGTATTGGAGGTGTTTGTTTCAGCTTTTCAAAAATAATTTATAACTTTTAGTTTTGAAAAAATTATTTTGAATTATTTGGTTAAATTTATTTTAAATAACTTCTGACTGTAACAGCGTATTTTAACTAAAAAAAGTTGTTTCTGAGAAGCTGCTCACCTCTTGCTTCTGATTATCAATTTCTGCTGTAGACATGTTAATTTATGGTTGTATTCTTAAATATTTTTTATTTTTTAAAAATAGAAAAAGACCCAAATAGACTATAGATTATTATTATTATTATTTATGAGAAATGTAGACAAATAGTAAATAACAAAAAATGAAAATTAATTGAAAAAATTATTTCACAGCTTATTTAACAAACACTACTCAACAATTTAAATCTATAATCTAATAGTTACACCAAACAAATTAACTTCTAATTAAAGTCATAATCTATAATTTGTTAAGTTATAATTTATAAATTGTTTTAACTACACTAAACGGAGCCATTGTAATTTTAAAATTTGCCGCGACGCATGACTCGTAATTGCAAAGGCGTGTCTCCACATGTGGTAATAACCAATTTTTTTTTATATAAATAAAATAGCTAAAACCTTAGCTAAGAAAGCCATTATGGAGGCTAAGGAAGCAATTATGAATGATGGGGAAAAAAAAAATAGATAAACTTGCCAAAATAAGAGAAGGAAAAAAAAAGGTAAAAACCTAATTACATCAAGTATACTAGGGAAAATATGAAACTGTGCTTTTGTTATTTTGAAAAGCTATTTAATGAAAACCACTACAAAACATAAGTTTAGTTGAACTTGATACCGTAGTAGTAATATGAATTATAAATTATTTCGCAATATTAGAGTAGTGGGATAAAAAGAGGCTATGAGGATGATGAAAGTGGCAAAAACTGTAGACCAAATGCAATTCCTATTGAAATTTGAAAGTGTTTCGAGAGATGAAGGGATAGTTTGGTTGACTAATTTGTTTACAAAGATGCATAATAAGAAATGCTTGATGAGTTGAAGAAAAAGTCCATTAGTTCCGACATACAAGAACAATGGTGATATTCAAAGAGAGATTAAGACACAACGTGATAAGAAAATACATAGTTATCTTAAACTTTTAACTGACGATATTACAGTGAATAAAGCCAATTGGAGGAAATGTATCCGTGTAACTGACCCCAAGTAAATAGGACTATGGCTTGTTGAGTTGAGAATCATGATGAAATGATTCAATTTTAAGAATCCAAATGCATTCAACAGTTTCAAATTCTTCAGATGATCCTCTAGCTTTGAACTAAACTCATTTACATTGATCTAAGTCTCAAAATTCCAAAAACCATGGTCATAAAGCTAGCATTAGCATGGACACTACATTTATCACTAGAATGAAACATTAACAGTAATTACCTTTATTGAAAACTAACCACATTCTTAGACTTTATCACAAAGCTGGTCAAGTGTCTGCAAGATTCCCAAGGCATGTGATAAGTCTGTCACCTTGACGCCTAGTGAAATCAGTCTGCGAATACTTGATGTTTTTTAGATCAGCCAAGAGACAGTCTGAACTCTCACCCGGGTTTCCTTTAAGTATGTCAGTGATCAATTCCGCATTCTCATATAGTTTTGCAACCTTCATTTGCTCCTTCTCTTCCATGTTGTTCTTAACCAGTATCTTCTCATCTTTGCTGTGTTTCAAAGGCTTTACCCTTTTTTCTACTTTGCCTTGCTCTAACATTATCTTTTTATTTATCTTACATTTCTGAGGCTTCACCCTTTCCTCTGTGCTGTGTTTCTGGCATCACTCGGCGCCTTTGCTTCTTCAAATCTATGGTACCAAAAGTACAAAAACACAGCTGTAAGCACCTCATGTTTTGAGATGTGGCTTGCACTGGTGCACTTCCTATAGTCTCAAGCACAAAGTCACGCAAAAAAACATATTGTAAAGAACATACTATTAAGATAAATAAGTAGTTGTTGGACAATCTTCACTGTATTTAAATAGATTAAATTATGTTGTGTACTAAACAACAACTAGAATATAATGAAATAAAGGAAATGAGAGAAAAATGTTTGATTACAAAAATCAAACTAAAAATAGAATTAAATAAATAAAAACAGATTTTATTTTGTAACCAAAACAAAATTAAAATCTGATTTAAATAAATAATAATAAAACAGAAAATAAATAAATAACTTACTTGATTAATATCTTAAATATTATTCTGATCAAGTCTAATGTTTGACACTGTGTCCTTAAGACAGATTCGTCCTCTCCACGGTACTTTCAGAATGTGGACGTCTATCTCACAGGATGAAATGATCAACTACAAATAATAGCAGCACTACAAATTGTTTGTCTAACGAACATACTAAGGCCCCGTTTGTTTTTAGAGGTAGAATGGAGGGGATTGATAGTGAGGGGATTAAGTAAAATTGTGTTTATTTTGATGATAGTTGTTAGTGTAGGGATTGTTAAATTATTTTTATATAAAATAAATATAAAATAATAAAACAAATAAAAAAAATATAAAAACATTAAATATTAATGTTTAAAAAAAATGCTCAACATGTAAAAAAATTTAAAAAAATTAAAATAAAATAAAAAAATTTCAGAAAAAAATAAAACAAATAAAATAATGATTTTTAATTAACAAAAAATATAAAAAATTAAACATTAATGTTCAAAAAAAAAATGTCCGACACGTAAAAAATAAAATAAAAAATAAATAAAAATAAAAAATTTCTAGTCCGCCGGACTATTTTTCTAATACCAAGTCCTGGAGGCCCATCCAAATCCCCTTGGGGAGGCCCATCCTAATCCAGAGCTCACTATCAATCCCCTCCCCATCTCTCAAAATGTCACGACCCAAACCCGCCCCTATAGGTTTAGCATCGTAATCGGCCAGTAATCCCGGGATTACCGAAGGCCTCTAAGACAGATTAACATAATATTAGGGGCTAGTGGAAGCAAATAACAACATACAACGTCTATCGAGCTGTGCAGACTTATATGAGACAGAAAAATTTTAAACTTTTTATATACATATATACACATTATCTTTAAGTCATCATATAAATACAGATTAGACTAAAAAAGGACTTAGCCCTATTTACAAAATACACAAGACTTGTTCAACCAAACACGAAAACAAAACTTAAACTTTAAATCACATAGCGATAATCACTTGACATGTCTGGAACCTCTACGGGAGGCACATAGGTTGGCTGACAAAAACAGATTCTAGGCAGATGCCTCTAAGCCTGGTCACGCGCCCGATCACCTACATACATAACTAATACAATAAGCTAGAGCCCAGAGAATAATAACAGGGTAAAGGGTTTTAATGAATGAGTCCGTACAGATTCAGAATTCATAATTCAGTTTCGTATCAAATTCATAATTTGTCCAGATCATATACAGAAATCATAAGTCATGCGTAAGTATACGTGATACATCCATTAGCATTAACAGAGTAGATACAAAACAAATACAAACACGTGAGGGTTACGAATAACCAATTCCACAAAGGAACCTCTGGATCCGGGTAACAGAACAGAAGCTAAGCCCCCATGGCGGGGCCTCCGGTACGGGTAACAGAGTGCTAAAAGATTAAGTTCCATAAAGGAACCTCCGATACTGGGTAACAGCTAACAGATTTCACATGATACTAAGGATGTCACGAAAAGATATCAGAAATTGGACAATCATTCATTATACAGAACATATCATTTCAGAAAACAGATCTCATTTTGTCACATAGAAAATAAGTACAGTTGAACATAACTTTACTAAGTTATTACTCACAGATAGTCGCAGAAGCAAATCAGACGGACTGAACAAATCAGACAAATCAGGCAGACAATGGCGCATGACCTACACAAGCACATAACATATACACATTGAAATACAATATTACTTCCTTGATCGAACTTGACTTTTCTAGTCTTCTGCTACGCTTATTCTTTCTCATTCAAATAAACTGGGTTCTTGTTTCACATATTCTTTCATTACTAAGCCATTCTTTTCCAAATAGATTGATCTTTTGCTTGGCTTCTTAAACAATTACCACTAGATCAATAATTCATTCTTAACTAACTAATTTATGTTGATTGATAGCTTATTAATCTTTATTGAGTCAGAAATCATGTCTAGAATGTTTTGGAAAGAGATGAGAATAAAAATGTAAACTAAATACAATTTTCCAAAATATGCTGAAAATAGGTCTCCGCTCGAGCGCCACTTTGATCGCTCGAGCGGACTGTAAAATTTGAAAAACTACTGGGCGCTTGATTTTCACGCTTGAGCGAGACTTTCCTCGCTCGAGCAGACAATGTAAATTCTGAAATTTCAAAATTGCAATTTGAAGTTCAAATTTGGTATTCAAAGCCTCAAAACATGTACTCTTGGTACACAAAAATGGAGAACCATTGTATGATTTAGTAAACACTTCCAATTAGAAAAAATTCATTTAAAATCATGTTCCAATTGCCCAAATTTAGTTTTAATTCATCTTATTAATATCAACCCACAATTCTAAAATATAAATTAAACTTCCCAACCTCTTGAAATTCCATGATGTATGTAATACAAATAGATCCAATTTTACTATTAATAACAAAATCAACTTAACTATGAATTATGCAAATCAATTTCTTAGAAATTCAACTTAACTCAACCTTTAACGAAATACTTAATTTATAATCATGGTTGTTCTAAAATGTATCTAAATTGGATAAAATTCTTAAATTACATTACATGCATGGATTTAAGTAAAAATCCAATTATAAAATCAAAACTTTAGGATTAATCCCAAATTTTCATAAACTTGATTTTCTTAAAGCATTTCCTTTGTCTCTTCAAAATATGAACTTGAATGGCTCAATTCCCTTAAAACTCATGTATTACAAGAAAATACTACAAAATCAAATCAAAACAATTAATTTTTCAAATTAATTTCCACAACTATGAGTCTACTAAATTTTTTACTTAAAACCTTATTTCTTACAAAATCCATGAGACTAATCCATAGCTTTCTTAATTCATGATGCATGTAACTGATTTTATGTTTAAAACCCAATTTCATCCTAATTCCATGAATTTAATCTCAAATCTCAAGTATTATAAGATAATTCTACAAAATCAAGCCAAAGATAATTAATTTCTAACTTAACTCTCATATATATATATATATATATCAAGGTTTATATCAAAATTATTTATTTATTTATTTTTGTTTGCATGTACAACCCAACCTTAAATTATGATCATAAGGCTTCCAAAACATGTTTAAATTGAATAAAATAAAAACCTTCAAATTAGATTTACATGCATAGATTAAGAACCCAAAATCAAACTAATTCTTAATTTGATCTACAATTTCAAATTTAAGAGTTAATCCGTATATAGAATATTAGAAACCTAGAAAAACATTTGTCTACAAGGAATTTGGGGACTAATTGACTTAAACACACTTTCCATGAAACTTTCTTGAAACTCATTTTACCCCAAAACCTCTTCAACATTCATCTTAAATCATCTCAAAACTTAAATCAATTTATATCTACATTATTTAAATAATAGTAGAAAGAGGATGAGAATTCTTACCTTTAGGTGATTTTTCCACAATTTTTGACTTAAATATTGATGTCTCACGGAGCCCTCTTCTTCCTCTCTTCGTTCTCTTCCTCTTCTCTCTGAGCTTAACTTGGTTTTCTCTCTCAAGTTCCAGGCTTCTCTAGCAATTCCTCTCCTTCATTGACTTCATTCATCTCTTTTATTATTATTTATTATTATTATTAGAGTGTGGGACACTTGGCTTTACCAGATTACCTCATGTGGTGATATGCATATGAATCATCAACCACTAGTCTAATCTCCTATCAACTAACTAATCACGCTTAAGTTTCAGTAATTGGGATTAATCGTTGATCATATTTGGTTTAACTAGTCTCACTTTAATTTAATCAATCTAATTTGACTTTTATTATAGCCCAATTAATTATAATTAAATTTATCAATCTAAATCAGATTTTTAATCGAACTCCTAAATGGTTCCAAATATTAAATTAAACTTATTTTCATCCTCAATTTTGATTTCCTCAATTATTTAGGCCTTCAATTTTTGATCAGACACCAAATCTTTGTCAATCAATTACATATTCAAATTGGACCTCCCATAAATGAATTTAATTCGTAATAGTCACAATTCTCAATCCTCATAATTTAATTAACTTAATTTTCTCCAATCCGGATTTAATTAATCGAATCTCAATTTTACTAAACTGAATCGAATCTTTAATTAAACTCTCAAGTGGGTCCGTATTTAAGATTAAATTGATTCAACCTCCTAATTTCACTTCCTTAAGTCATTTGGACCCTTAATTTCTAATTCCAAAATAAATCTTTAATAGAATCATATACGAGTCAGATCCCACAATTCTCATAAATCCCAACTTAAATTATAATACTTGGTAATTAAATTTCAAATCCTCTTAATTAATCAAATATTAATCATTATACTTGATGGGATCGTTACATATAAGTTGCCACCCGCGCTGACTCGCTCTTCTTGAACCTCCAACCCACCCGCCAGAAGCAAAAAATTACACGATTCAGACCGATTTAGTGCACTTTGGAGCAATTTTACTGATCTTGACAATATTATGCACTACCCTAAATGGGATATACTTATCTTTGTAGTAATAAAATATATCTCACTCTTTCAATTTAATAACACTATAAATGTAATTTTTTTTTATTACTACAAAGATAAGTATATCCCACTTAGGGTAGTGCATAATATTGTCAAGATATATCTCGTTCTTTCAATTTAATAACACTATAAATGTAATTTTCTATTTCAATTAAATAAATACAGTTTATTTTTAATTTTTTTTATTATCAAATATGTAAATATAATTGTTAAAGTGTCTGTAAATATATTACATTATAATTTTTTAATTTTTGTATTTACTTTCTAATTTAATAAAAAAAAGTTCATATTAAGCCTCATTTGGCAAGTGCCCTTTTTAGCTAAAAAGTCAAAAAGTTATTAAAAAAATCAAAAAGTCAACAACCCATACCAAAAAGTCAAAGATTCCCTTTCTCTCTACTTTTTGCACAGTTTTTCGTAAAAAACCAAAAATTATTCTAAACATATTAATTTTTTTTACATCACATTTAAACAAAAAAAATTAAAAAATTATTAAAAAAATTTATTCCCGAGACCTTAAGTTCTAAATTAAGCCCATATGGGCCAAGGTCGACCCCAACCCCAACCCACAAGCTCATATTTGTATGTCCATAGAGGTTGTGCATTACAAATGTAGGATGGGCAAGCTCAAACTCCGCTTGTTGACTAGTCAAAGCTTATTACTCCCTCCGTCTTATAATATTAGTCCCTTATTTCATTTTTTATTGTCCCAAAATATTAGTCTCTCTTCAAAAATTAAGTACAAAAATAATATAAATTTCCCATTTTGTCCTTCTTTTAAATTCATAAATAATATAAAAAGTACAATTATGACATTGATATTCTCAAAAAAATATACTATCAAAGGGTAATTTTGAAAAAATAACTTTTTAAAAGTACAATAATTGTACTACCAAAAAAAGTTGGATTCCCCAAAAGAGACCATTATTTTGGGACGGCGGGAGTAGGTGAATTGATTCAAACTACATCCATTTGGCCAACTATGTAGAGAGTATAACAAAAATGCCTTGGACCCCACCACCCTCACTAATTTGATTGGTTGATTTTTTTTATTTTTTTGAAGTCTTGAGTGCACAGCAAGTCACGTGGGGCTGGGGTGCTATTTTAAATCCATAGTAGAAGCAACTAGGGGTTTCCAGCACAGTTGAGGGTATAAAGGGGTGACGAATACATAGTAGAAGCATATGTGTTATTTTAAATCCAATTTAATGTGGATTTTAATTTAGTTATTCTAAGTCTGACCCTAAATAAATGTCTAAATTTCAAATTTACCAACTTAACCCAATAAATATAAACAGTTTTAATTTTTATTTTTGTATTGAAGGATTAATAAATTCTTTATAGACCCTTTTAATAATTATTTGAAATTGAAACATCAACAAAATTCAATTGTAAAACAAATATATTATTTTAACAAATGTTTTAATTGAAGTCATGAAAAAAAAAATTAATTTCTTTTATCTTTTATTATTTTTTAATTTATTTTGTAATTAAGTAATACAAAATATAAAATAATATTTTATAAATAGGTTGACTAGGCCAGACTAAGCTAAAACTACTTATCTCACGAGCTGTTTAAAAATTAAATAGATTCAAAATCTCAATTTAATTTCAATTTAATTTGTTCTTAAATATATTTTTAAATTTTAAAAATGTCAATTAAATATTTTTTTCAAATTCTAAAAATGTCAACAGGCTAGGTTAAGCTGGTTAGATGGTCCATCATCGGGCTCTAGAATAAACCGATAGAGCCTCGAGCCAACACGTTCCGAAGTCCCGACCCGCCGGTTCATGTCTGGACTTTTCTTGAAGTTACTGGACTCTTCTCTCCTCATAAGAATTGCTATACTCTCAACTTTTGGAACTTTTTCTCTGCAATTGCTTAAACAATCTCTCTCTCGTACATTTTCTCTGTAGAACGAAGAAAAAAAAAACAGAATGTTCGGAGTGGTGTTCCCAAATCGGAGCTTCCCAATGGACATCTCAAGCTTCGCCCAAATCGACACCACTCACTGGATTCTCGACATGAACACCTTCGTCGGTAACCCCTCTCTCTCTCTCTCTCTCTCTCTCTCTAAACTTCAAATTGCAGAATTTAACCTAGTTCAAATCAATCAATCTTACTGTGCGCAGGAGAGGCATACGATTCGATCAGAGAAGTGTGCATGTTCCTTCTAAACGGCCTCTCTCTTCCACCAGACAAAGCCCTAGCGGTTTACATCCAGTCCCCAGGCTCTCCCTTCCTCTATTGCGGCGCCGTCACGGTGGTCCGGCCATCGGCGGTGCTGTCGCTTCCGTGGCCGGAGCCTGGTGGTCAGATGCAGCTCACGGCCCCCGACGCCGCTCCGCTCTCCGCCAAGATCGGCGTCTCCGTGGAAGACCTGGCCACCCTTCCCTCCCTCGATGTGGCGGCGGAGAAGCGGATTGAGCATCTGGCTATGAAGGTTGGGGAGAATTTGTTCAATTTCATGCAGTCGTTTTGCGGGGTTGATGGTAGCAGGCTTGTTGTGCCCATGGATATATTGGATAGATGGTTCAAGAAGTTTCAGGAGCGAGCCAAGCGCGATCCTGAATATCTCAAGGGTTTTTCTTTGTAACTTTCGAGGTATATATATGAATCAATGTTTGTGCTGCTGATGTTTATTTATTGAACGTTGTAGGTTTTGTTTTTTAATTAAATTATAAGTTTTGGAATTAGAGAAGAAGAGGTGTTCTTGTTTTCGATCATTTTGGATGCATTTGCTTTGATTGGTTATGTATGTTCTGGTTTAGGAATTTGTTTTGAGAAATTGCATATGTAGGGGAATTCTTGAATGCTGTTTTGTGGACAAAACGAAATTTACTTAAAAGTTCAAGTTAGTGTGCTGAACAAGTTGAAACAACTTCTATAAATGAGACTTTTTTCAGTATACTAGTCTGCATTACTTCCCAGAATAGACAAGCTAGAAGTTTAGATATTTTTATATGCCTAGTGTTGCAGAGACAAACTATAATCATTTTTATCGATTTCTATTTGAAAGAAATTATTTGTCTGGCAATGTGTCTGTGCCAGAGTACCATCTCATTGTGCCTGTTTTGGATTATGACCCTGTGTGTATATGATCAACATGTCATAGATAGCAAGTTCTGGAATCAAGAAGAAACTTTTTTTCCCAAGTGTTAGTGTCTTTTGATTGTACACAGTGCAGTGTTTGGTCTTTTCCTTAGTTGGTGCCTTGCTAACTAAGCTCTTGTAGTGGTTTCGTGGTGATTGTGTTGTCTTGAAGGTGCCAACCTCATTGGATGTTCATGTTTCAACTATGATGAAATTTTTTCCCCAGTGGTTTTTATTGATGTGTAATCCTTTGATTTGATTATTATCAATAAAATCTGTCTTGCCAATAAAATATATATATATAGTTAAGGAGCAAAGTGACCATTGTCACGAACATGATCAACCTATCTTCTGTATTTAAGTTGGTTCATTTTCAGTAAATCACACACTTATTTGCCTCAAAACTCAGAAGTTTTTTGAGAATTTAGACATGGATGTTGACCCCGAGGACAACCCCTAACGAAAACCCATTACGACATAACGGAAGGAGTGGGGGAAGTTCAAATCCAGGTGGCAATGGAAAAAAAAAAAAGAAAAAAAAAGAGAGAGAATAGGAAGGGCTCTGGCCCTCAAAGGAAGCCTTGGGGGAAACTTAGGAAACGATTTATATCTTTGATTGTTCTAATGATAAGGCGTTTTGAATTCTGGAATATGAGGGGGCTTAGATCGACCTATTTCTTTGAAGGAAGTCAAAAAGCACATCAGGAGATATAATGTGTCCTTTTTTGGCATTTTGAAGACATAGAGTTAGAAGTGTTAATAAGGATCGGGTTTTTAACTCTCAGCAAAAGCTGGGCTATGATCTCTAACTATAATTGGTCTACATGGGGCAGAAATTGGGGGGTCTTATGGGATCTTGATGTTCTGGAAGTCAAGCACATCCATGTAATGTTAGAGACAAAGGTAGAGAAACTGGATTGTTTTGTCTCAGCTATATCTGGCAATAATGCTACTCAAAATAGGTTGGGACATTGAGTTTTCTACTGTTGTGTTCCAACAATCCCCTTGGCTATTGTGGTGACATTTTTTACCATTAGATTTATGCATGAGTGGATAGGGGCTCTCTCAAATGGCCCTCTCATAGAGACCACTGCAATAACTGGTTTTCTAATGTTGAGAATGAAGATTTTAATACAAGGAGGATGGCAATTTACCAGGACCAATGGCAAAGATTTAAGGAAAATTGACATAGCCCTTGTGAATGAGGCTTGGACTAAGAGGTTTGCCCTTGTCGAAGGCAGAGTTTCTTCCTGCTAACATTTCTAACCATAGCTCTATTTTGATCCAAGTGATGCCTGGTCCCTTCAAAAAGGCCTTCTACATTTTTTTATTGTTGATTTCTTGAATATTATTTCTGGTGTTTGAATTAAACAAATTAAAGGTATATTTCTTGGATTGGATCAGAAGTTGAAATTTTTGAAGGTTGAACTAAAGATGCCGAACCAGAGAAGCAACGGTGACATTTTCAAGAGAGTGGAGGAAGCCAGAGCTCAACTGGAGAGTATCCAAAAGAGAATTAGCGCTTAACCCACAAGATGCTAATTTAAAACTATTGAGGAAAAAATTCCACCCTTATGCTTCATGAAATAAGCAGAGATGAAGATAGCATGGTGAAGTAGAATTTCAGTGTTACAATGGCTCAACTTAAGTGATTAGAACTGCAACACCCCATACCCTGGACCTGTCCTGTCTCACGATGGTTAACAGATAAAAGGCTTTTTCAAATGGCCTATTATGGAAAGTTAGTTAAAACAGTTGATTTTTTTTTTTTTTTTTAATCACATTATCTTTTTATTTTTTTACACATTTTTTTAAGGAAAAAAAAAACCAAAAAAAACTGGGATGAACCATGTTTTGGGCAATAAATAGGTTTCATTACCTAAGTCAGAACTAGTGCTAGGATGGACCTAGGCCCGTTTGTTTTGAGAATAGGTTTGGTGAGATTGTTAGAGCATCAGCATCAGTATCTTTAAAATAACAAAAAGTTAAAATATAACTAAGCCTCCGTTTGGGAAGTGGGTTGGCTTTTTGGCTTTTTGGCTTTTTTGGCTATTTTAGCCTGGGCTAAAAAGCTTGGTTTGGGAAGGGCTTTTTGGCTTTTTGACTTTTTGGCTTTTTTTTGTGAGAGAAGAGTGTAATGATTATGGGTTGGATGTGATGTTTTGTTTGTTGTGGCTAAAATAGCCTGTTTTGTCTTTTGTGGCTATTTTAGCCCCAACCCACTTGCCAAACATTATCAAATTCTCCCTCCATCAGTCTTAGCAAATTTTTGTTAAATTAACTTTTTGATAAATTTGCTACAATAACTCGTCTGATGAAACGAGAAACTATTCATTGCTACAATACATGATTTGGGTGTAACCGGATTTCCGGCCGGTCAACGGCACATTTCCTCCAGTTTTATCTTTTGTAAAACATAAGAATTGTTTGGTTGATAGGTCATCAATTTAATTATAAAAAAAAAAAAGAATAACAAATATTTTAATAGAATTGAGTTAAAATAGAGAGTTTGATGCAGTTGGTGACTAGTTAAAATAGGAAAATGGCTTTTTAAGTCATAATTTGACTCAAAATTTGCTAAGGCTGATGTAGATGCTCTTAATGGGGGGATTGTTAGGGGTGTAAAAATGGCCCAAGGCCCGTGGCGGGCTCGGCCTGTTTCGGCCTGGTTAAGCCCGGGCCCGAGCCCAGCCCAGGCCAGTACCTTGTGCCTGGGCCTTCCATTTTGGGGCCCGGCCCATGGCCCGGTCCATTAGCCTGACCCAACCCAAAAAATTTCAGGCCCTATGGGCGGCCCGCCCCGCCCCGTCCCGGCAAATTTCAAAAAATAAAAATAAAAAACAACTTACAATAGTTAAATAATTTTAAAAAATAAGTAAAAAGATTGATCTTATAAAAATAAAAACATAAAAAAATTAAATAAAAATTAATATAATTAAATAAATAACATTAATAATTTAAAAATAAAACAAAAATTAATAATAATTTATTAAATTAAAATTAAATTATGAATTATTTAATGGAAAATGATGATATGATGTATCACTATGTGCACAGTAGCACAGTCTATCTGTGTGTGTGGCTGGAAAAGTGGGAAAGTGCACCTAATAATATATATGGGAAAGTACACCTAAGGTCCTAAACTCACGTGAAAGAGAGAAAAAAAATATATATATATATATACTAAGTTGGAAGGTAATACTGGGCTTGTGGGGGCTCACCATGAGTCCCATTTTGATAATCCGAACCATTGAATGTGTAGAACTCTTCCATTACTATATACCTGTAAAAAATCACGTTAATCGAATATCGCTAACTACATGATCATATTAATTTGGTATAAAAATGAATGGTGTTACAGTTAATGGTTTACAAAAAAAACTAATCCGATTAGATAGTTATAGATATCTGATCAATGTGATTTTTTATAAATATATAATACTCAACGAGTTGTACAAATTGAACGGTTCCGATTAGCAAAACGAGACCCGTGATGGCTCCTACTGGCCAAAGAGTACCGTCTAAATGGTTGTCCAAGAAAAAGGCAATCATTTCCTAACCTAGCCTCAATTTTGAGCCGTTGCAAACTCAAACGGATATATATAAAACGGTCATAATAATTCAAACGGATAGATTTTAAACTAGTATAAATATATTTTAATTTTCAAAATATATTTCACAACAAATCATTCTCTCTTTCTCTTCAACTCTCTCAATCTCTCTCAACTCTCAATTAATTCTGAAGGGCCATCCCTAAGTGGCTATTGCAATTGTGCAACAAGAAACTTTTAGTAGAAGAAGAAAATTTTTATATCGCATTCGTCAGTCGGTAACATTAATTAGTTTAATTAAATTGATGCCCATATATTAATTATTATTTTTTACTGATTAAATTTACACATTATTTAAATTAATTGTTAATTCTTATATATTGTATTACTTGCATTACTATGGATCTTAATATGCCTAATGTTTATGTCGATGTTGATACATATACTACACTACATGAATCTGTTGATTCTCCTTCTAATATCCCTCTTCCAACAGTCGCATCATCATCTAGGAACAGAAGTAGTATTGTTTGGGAACATTTTGAAAAAATATCTATAAATAATCCTGATGACACAATTACAATTAAAGCAAAATGTAAATATTGTGCACGTTTACTTAGTGCTGCATCTGCAGGGGGTACTAGTCATTTAAAAAAGCATTCTGACAAATATTTACAAAGTAAACAACCTGATATTCGAAGTCAAATGCAATTAGGGGCTTCATCAACTGGTAATTTGCAAACATTTTCATATGATCCTATACGTGCACAAAATTCTGTAGTTGATTATATTATTAAAAAAGAAGAACCTTTTAGTAGTAGTGAATGTCCTGATTTTACCGAAATGATTCACGAAAGTTTTGCACCGCAATATCAAAATTTTTCAAGAAATACTACTAGAAACAAGATTTTAAATAAATTTGAGGATATTAAAAGTGAATTATTTGATATCTTTAAAAATTTGAATGGAAGAGTTTGTTTAACATCTGATCTGTGGTCAAATAATGGTTTTGAATATCAATGTATCACTGCACATTTTATTGATAATGATTGGAAATTAAATAAAAGATTGGAAATTAAATAAAAGAATTATTTCATTTAAATTAATTGAACTTCCATACACTGGTCATTCGCTTGGTGTAGAAATAAGAAATGTATTATATGAGTAGGTTTTACAAAATAAAATATTTACGATTAGTTTAGACAATGCATCAT